ATTGTAGTTCCTGCTTATTACCCAAGTTAGCACTTACTGTCAACTTTGGTGTCCTTATTTTGCACATGCTTATCTTCATGTATACAAACACTAAATTAAAACCAAAGCCAAATGACAGGCAAAGTTATCATTTTCAAAGTTTAAGATTCTCCTCCTCCAAATCTTCTCTCTACTTCTTTGTAATGAGAAAAATCAATAGCAATGATACAAGAGACCACTGCTATTGATCATAGGAGTTACCTTCTGAGCAAACATTATCCTAGACAAAAGATAATGCCTGCACTACTCTTCCCTAATTTAAATAGACTATGCCATTCAAAATTGCTCAGCATATTAAAACAATATGAGATAATGCAATGCCCTAACAGATAGTCAGTTCTCATTTCCCCTTTTCTCCTGGTTGGCAGAACAAAGATTCCTAACTAAAACCTTCAGAATCTAGGACAGTGAAATTAAATTCAGTTTCTACTTTGTGCCTTCTGCTCTGGAAACTGCAGAAAGTTAATAAGACAAGACAGTTTTGAATGATTTAACTGACATAAAATGCTCTTCATCCATCTATTCTCGAGAAAGAACTGAAATGCAATAGAATACCAATCTGGTATATTCTATCTCCTTAGCAAAATGATCTGTTGAGAACTTGAGATAAAAATGAGCCAGGAATATAGGTCAGCCAGAGAAGTGAGGAGCCTTCAAGTTCAGAAGAGTTCAGAAGGATGAGAGCTTCTACAGAAGTAGAACTATGGGTCCCTTGAAATAAAATTACTTCGTAAGATAATTCAAATGTATTTCAATCTCCCATATTTGGATCATAATCTGTGATGATTCAAAGCATTGCCAGATAGAATGTGCTGGTGCATTAAGTAAGGCTTTATCTTCCCTGGCAAAGTGAAAGAAAAAAATGAGTCAATTGTTTCGGTAAGTCAGCCTGAAATATCAAGATAATGGAATAACAGTTGGGCTTTACTTAATTTCACCTGCTGAATTCATTTGTATCCTCAGATAGGGCCCTGAATCTGCCTGAATTCATTTGTATCCTCAGATAGGGCCCTGAATCCCCCAATAAAACTTACCTGCCCATTGAAATACAGAGGAATTAAACTAAATCACAGTAGTTTAATTTAGAAACCATAGGCCGGAATTATATAATAACTGCCAATGTTACCTTTCCTTAACTCACCTATAATAATGCCTTTGGTTTCTCCTTTCAACTAGGCCTGCTATATTCTGAAGAAAATTCTGTCCTCATTCAGCATTTATGCTGAATGATTTATCTGCATGTTGACTAAAACCTATCTTCTCTCTTCTTAAAATACCTGTGATTGGTGTTGGTAATGATTATGAAAAGCAAACCACATTTCTAGGAATGCAAATGATTAGAAGGAGCATGAAGTAGTCTTTACAGTATCTAATTAATTCAGGCCTTCTTTTTATAGCAAATTGAACATAGAGACTAAACATTTACTCTGAACATGTTATTTTAACTATAGCTGCTCTATCTAGATATTTTCATTCTGCACTTTGCTCCCTAGATCTGCCCATTACACCTAAAGTCACAAGGGTGGTGAAGCAAATATATGACATGATGAAGTAGGGTTATCTCACACCTGAGATCTTTTTTTTTTTAATTTTCATTTACCTTCCAATAAAATTTAATTCAACCTCAGAAAAAAAACTTCCTAAAATATGTGAATGAGAATTGGCTTAAAACTTAAGGATGAATTTGACTTGAGACCTTCAACACTGAAGAATTAGTGACAACCCCTCCAGTATTCGGTCATGATTAAAAAAGTACAACAAAACCCTAAACTAAAGGAGATTATAACTTTTCTCTCTAACCATTTGGGAACTGTAAACATGCAAAGAGTTCCATCCAGCACAACCTAGGAAAGGAAAGCAAAGCAAAACAAAACAAAAAAGGAGGTTAAGACATAATTGGTCTTAGGTATATCTCAGACTAAAAATAAAAGGGTAAAGATATGCTCACACAGACATAGACACACATGGACAAATTAATTGTTCAGGAAAACTTTAACTTCTGATTTCTTTTCTTTTATTCAGGTAACTATATGAAACTGATTCAGGGACAAATTTTGAGCACTCAGATTGGAGTTCTGAGGAATGACTAGAATCATCACACAATGGTCATGCATAGTAGTTCGTTTTAATGGAATATTAAGTAGATTGAAGAATAATTCTCTTCCAAAAGTTCCAAGCATAGCAAATTGTGTTTTTATAAATGTCTTTGTTTTACATATTATATAAATCAATTTTCTACTGAATATGGTTTGAAATTAAAGTGATGGCTAACTTAGTAGTCATTCACTTGGTCTTGCAACATTCTGCATGCATTGTCCAGTTTCACACTGTTAATTTTCTAATAAACAGCTTTGTTTTCAAATGTCCCAAGGCCAGTTACTGAATCCAAATATAAACTTTGTAAGTCAAGAAACTCCAAGCAGCAAGACATTTTAAGCATATAACCATCAGGATTTCAGTGTGCACTGCAACTCCTCTCATTTTAGGCTTCTTTCTTCTCATATACTCACCAGTCTTTGCAATGTATGTTGCACTGTGATGGGTCTCAGTTTACAGGAAAACACCCACTTCGTTACTCATAGAAGACTTCTCATACCTACTCTGGTCAGTCTCACAGGGTATGTTTATCTTACATGTTATGAACAATATAATTTTTTCTAAAAAGATTTGCATTTCAAAATCCTGATGAACATATATGTTTTGTTAGAACACAATATATGCTTAATAAACAAATATGTTTGAAAATCATGTTTATATAGAATAGTAACATACTCAACAAATTCTGATTTGAAAGTGGAAACACCTTAAGTTTACACATGCCATGAACGATTCATCAATGTCATTCATTATTTTGCAAGGTATTCTCTTCTCCAGATGAAGCGTAATTTATAAAACTGAAGAAAAATAAGTCAGGTTATGGGCAAATGTATTTATTCATTTTTATTACAAGAGGGATTTTTATAACAGCATTGTTGGAAATAATTGTGTCTGAAAGAATGAAAGATTCTGGAGAAGGAATCTTTAGAAAAAAGAAAGCCTACTTCTGTTTTGGAAATTGGAATAATGTATGCATACATATGAAGAATTTTCAGAAAGATGAGTGGCTTAGGGGGCTCATTTACAAACGCCTGTCACTAGAGTCACTAAAAATAAATCAACCCTTACTTAGGAATAGATCAACTTTAAAAATTTTGCTTTAGGTGGTAAACTAGGCACTAGTTTCAGCTTCCCTTTTCTCAGTACAAATTTTGTTAGTCAGTGGTAAGCTTTCTAAAACGAAGAGGAGGCAATGGGAGCATTTCTATCTATTCATCCAAAAAACATGGAATATAGTAAAATATGGGAGACAATTCATTTTCCTTTTTAGTATTAAATTTCAAATTACTTATTTATGGTGAAATTTAAAGATTTCTTCCTAGGAGATACTATCATGCTGCATTTTTCAGAGGAACTACACCATAGCTTAAATGCGTGTTAGCTATCTAACAAGTATTTATTTGTGCATCTCCTTAGAATAAAAGTAAATTAGGTAAACTCCACACTTACGCAACATAGAAAAACTCCTTGGTAAAATCAGTCCTTTTTAGTTAATTTATAAATAAGGTAAAATAAAACAAATATAAAGTATTCATATTAAAAATACCAGAGTACATATTGCCATTTTTAAATAACAAGGTTACTTAGAGCTATTTTAAAGTTTATTGATTAAATAAGAAACACAATCAAATCTAAACTCTAAGAAGCAATTAAATTTAAATATATTAAAAATATGCTCCTCAACTTTGTTCAAAACTGTTAAAACAGACAAGAACTCATAGTTACTTCCTAAATAACTTTATATGTACCATTAGTTGCTATGGCAGTTTACAACACTAAAAACTAGCACATATATTACAGTTAGTACCCACAGTCACAAAGAAAACCACACAAAACATTAATCCTCAAACGATGAGCATATAGCCCTTTCTAACAAATACTGTACATGTATTTAAACCCGTTGAAAAGGTATATCCAAATTTAGTTCTGATTTTTGAAACTTTGTTCTCAATTACTATACAAACCTACAAATAAAATGCAGAAACTTTTTTTCCAATTTATTTATAAAGTCAAAAAAGCGACTGGTACTTCTCTATACATGCATTAACCCTGACATAGTTCCTCTTTGCAATCTTAAATATAGCCAGCCTGAAGTTATCTTAAACTGCAACTTTAAATTTATTAAGAAAAACACTGAATGTTACACTTAACTGGGTTCTATTTTGCCCAAAAAGAGATATTAATGAGCCAAATATTTGTTTTAAAAAGTCTCATTGTCCAATTCAGACATTTCTATGTCACTTGATGAAAAGGCTTTTTGAGATTATGATATACTATACTGCAGGTTTATTGTAAAACAAGCAGTATACTTTATTATTACAATTAAAGCTGTAAAATTCATGAAATTTTTCCACTATCCCACAACTAGATTTACTTCTAATTATCATCTATTTGGCAAAGTACTTTAATAGGGGGATTTGGTTTGCAGTAGCCATGAAATAAGCACAAAGTAAATCAATCTCTATCATTTTTCAGAAGAAATTGCAAAAACTTTACCACCAGGCAAAATCTATAGTTTTGATTTGTTTTTAACTACTTACAACTAGTGCAAATATTAGTTGTGTCATTTTCCACCTTCCCCTCCCCCCTGCCTTCCTTCCTCACTTCTACCCGTTTTAAAGTTCAAATTATTTGGTGGCTGTTTGTTTAAAAACAACACTGTTAAGTATCTTCATAAACTTTTTATGCTGAGCATCTGCTTAGAAAAAAGGTTAACTCGCATCTAATTAATGTTAAATGTAAGAATTGAGTCTGTGTTACCCAGTTGGGACAAATTCCTAGGTGCGGAGTTAGAATAGGAAAATTACAGGGAGGCTCCTGTAGTCATTGATGAAGTTAGGAGAGCTTGACTCGAGAAATCTCACCTTTTGAGCTGCTTTAGAGGGACTCTTGTTTTTGCTGCCTTTAGGTCTTCCCCTGGGTCTCTTAGGAGAGGGCTCACCGGTTGGTTCCTAATTGTGAGGGGGAAAAAAAAAAATGCTGTTGTGGCAAGAATGTCTGAAAGAAATTGACCCTGACTCTTTAGCTATATTTTCTGCATGTGCTGCTCAAAAGAGCTGTTGGAACACTTTCAGTTCAAGCATAAATGGATGATGATGGTACAGAGTTTACAGAAAGGGGAAATAACTATACTTTTAATCCAAGGGTTCAAAGAGGAAACCCTATTTTGTATATGAAAACTAGATTCTACTTCAAACCTAAAATGGTAACAAAGACTGAAGAGGCATGTTCTAGAAAGTCATATACTTTTAAGGCGTAAAGTTTACAGGGCTATGCATTTGGCGACTCATAGGAATAATAAGCATTTTAAACGAACACCACTCTCCATTATACTAGCGTTTCAAACAATAGAAGTATGAAGCTAACATCATAGATATTTCAACAATCTTCCATACTGAAAAGGTGGCTTTTAATAATCTTTGTATACCTGCCTTCTAGGTGGATTATGATTCAACTGACACATTCTGAGTGAAATACTGGAGGAATTATTCAAGTTCTTCAGTTCAAAATAACTCCATTCCCCCTAAAATTTCCAAATAATTATAGTAAATCTATTGTGGGAGGTTTTGCTTGAATTATCTAGTTAATTGCTTCAATTCTCCACTTCCTTTTGGAGATGCAGGCATGGTCTCCAGTCTACATTTAAATATCTTTTGATAAAAATAAACATATTTTCTTCAAAACTTTCTTTTAAGAAAACTCTTATGGGGATGGAGTGGAGAAAACTAAAAGGGGGTAAAAGCGAGGAGGAATGGAGTGTCTGGGAATGAGAAATGGAAGCAATCACTAGGTTTAGCAAAACTTTAAATGGCTCCTATGCCAAGTAGTAAATACTCAAGTGGTTAAGAGAATGCGATGATTAATATTCCAGATCCCAAATATTTATCCAGTGAATCATCTATTCACATTTCATTCAGATTCGGTGATTAAGTGAGACTAATTAACTTAAAACCCATGAACGTCCTCAATGAAAATTCGCATCCCATTTAGAGAATTCGGGGAAGGTTCCCTGCAAGCTTCTGTGGGACCACTAGCGCCAGTGGGCACATCGAGAGCAAACACATCGGAGACACATTTTTCTTTCTTTGTGAACTCTGCCTTAACTCAAAGGTAAAGTATCCAATCACCTCCAGACCCCACTGTAATTTCTTTTGGATTTTTTTTTTGGAGGGGGGTGCAATTAGTCAGTTGGAGCTGGGTGGCGGGTGGGAAACAAGTGGGGGAGGGCAGAGACTTCCTGGGAGGTGTAAAACAGGATTCAAATGCGATGTAAAGTGTCGCTTGGGCAGAGCGGGAAAACTCAGGGGCCTCTAGATAGGCTTGTTTCCTTTGATGATTTTGAAAAGGTAAACTCAATTTTTCTAAAATTCTCTGGCAAGCAAACATTGTTCAATTTCCCCACCTTGCTCTCAGGCAACTTTGGGACTCTAGGATTATTTTCAAATCGGCGTGTTTGCCATGAAGGAAGCGATTTAAGACTAAGGAGCGAGCAAGTTTTAAAGCCCGAGAAAGTGGAGTTTAAATGTTCTCAATAGACTTATCCCGCTCCGACCCTGCCCGCCGCGGCTTGGAAATTACAGCGAACAAAACCCCCAGCCCTGCGCGCTGAGCGCAGCTCTGCAAACGCCGGCTGCACGCTTAATTGGTTGCATCCGCAGACAAAACCCTCCACTCCGCTGGGTCCCGGGCGCCCCTCGATCGTCCCCTACTCAACCCCCGGCCACTGGCCTTGGAGAAGAGTATTTAATGGCTGCAGCACTGAGGCGCGGGATCCAGGGGCAAAAGGGGGACCGGGCGCCTGACGAGGAAGCGACCCTGGCTACCCTGCACTCTCTCGGACACTCCTTTCAACGCGCCCTTGGCTGGGCGAGTTAACCCCGTCCCGCGGGGAGCCAGGCTCCCCGTAGCCCCTGCCCCGGGCTCCCTCCGGCGGCCGCCGCACATTTAAAGAGCCCGAAGAGGACCAGGCAGCCGGTTCTCCATGCGT